GTGTGAGGGAAATGCGAGGCGGTTCTGCTCCCGGGTTCGATGAATTTCCAGCCAAAATATTAAAAAATCATCTGCAAGACATTTTACTACCTCTCAAACATCTTATTAACTTGAGTATTACTTTAGGCATTTTTCCAAACAGATTTAAAATAGCTAAGGTAATTCCTCTTTATAAGTCCGGACAAAAAGATGACAAAAATAATTATAGACCAATCTCATTGTTAAGTGTATTATCTAAAGTGTTAGAGAAATGTGTCAAAATTCAACTCCAAAATTATTTAAATGAACATGGAATTCTATCAGAACAACAGTTTGGGTTTAGAAAAGGTAAAAATACTACCGACGCACTATTTCTTATCAATAAAACTTTAATCGAGTCAGTGAATAAAAATGAAAAAATACTAATTGCATTCATAGATCTTGCTAAAGCGTTTGACTCTATTGATAGGAAAATTCTTTTCAAAAAGTTAGAATATTTGGGAGTAAAGGGGTTAGCCCTGGCATGGTTTAAAAGTTATTTAAGCAACAGAACTCAAGTAGTATCAATTAATTACGTAATTAGTGATCAAATAAATGTAGATTTTGGAATTATTCAAGGTTCTACAATGGGGCCTTTACTATTTTCAATTTACATAAATAACATAGATAAAATTGATATTTCTGGAAAAATATTTTTGTTTGCAGATGACACAGCGGTAATCTTTAGGGCACGTACTTGGGAAGAGGTTTTCAATATTGCATCATCAGAATTACAAATAATATTAAAAAGATGGTTCTCAGAAAACATTTTAACAATGAATGTCAGTAAAACAAAATGTTTGCCTATCGCACTTCGTCCCGCTAGCGAGCCGCCCGCCGAACTCAGACTAGCCTTGCACTCATGTGGCACCGCAGGCAGCAATTGCAACTGCCAAATTATTGAAACTGTGTCGCAGTATAAATACCTGGGCATTATAATGGATTCTAAATTGAAATGGGAAAGTCATATACATTTTTTAAAAACAAAACTTAGAAAAATGATTTATGTTTTTTACCAATTAGGTCAAATTTTACGACATGAAGAAATTAAAAGAATTTATTACGCCTACGTTCAATCTCATCTGCAGTATGGTTTAATAGCTTAGGGAGGGGCTTATTCATCAGTAATTGAACCTTTGTTCGTAATTCAAAAATCAATAATTAGAGCTGCGTTAAGAAAACCGAGACGTTATTCTACTGATCATCTGTTCAAAGAATCCCAGTTTTTATCAATAAGGCAGCTATATGTTAAAGATTTATTAGCTTATTCATACATTCATTTAGACCTTATCGCCTTGCCAGTAGTTCATAACTATCATACCAGAAACTCAGTGATGATAGGATTACGGGTCCCAAGAGTTCTCAAATCAATCAATTTAACAAATTCCTTTTACATTGCTAATTGCTTGTTGCGTAATATTCCTCCAGAAATTAGGGACCTGGAGTGTCACTGAGTGTATATAAGAGGGTTATTGCTAATTGGCTGATGGAGATAGGCCTTGACAATACAGAGTCACTTATCAGCCCAGAATATCTCGTTTAGACCTAACCATCTGATAACTGGACTATCTATTGTACCTTCCACAGCACTCTTACTTGACGGAATCCACGCCTCAGTAAAAAATTTTGTTTGAAAGAAAAAAGTTATGCTTTAATCGGATGTATTGCAAACAATGTGCACCCCTTGTTATTGATTGCACGTTGCATATGGTTTTTTAGGTTATTTTATAACTGTTATAGTATTAATTGTATAGTGTTATTTTACCAAGTTATTGTTAGTTCTTTTTTTTGTATAAGTGAAGTGTGAAGAACTTTTATTTTGACAGCAGACAGCTAAGGACTCTATCACACACAGGTCATTGTGACCCATGTGATATTTTTATTTTTTGTATTGCTGCAAAACAGTGTGTAATAGATAAAGAATTTTCTCTCTCTCTCTCTCTCTCTCTCTCTCTCTCCCTCTCTCTCTCTCTCTCTCTCTCTCTCAGTTATCTGTTTCCTGTTCATATACATTTTAAGCTGGTTCACTACTCAGTTGAGCTAGTAGATTTCAAAAAGAGACTCAAACACTATTTAACCAACCACAAGTTGTTATTAGATACACAACATATCTTTTTAATAATAGGTTGGTTTATCCGGCCAGGGGCTCGGTCCCACTTAGGTATGAGGGGTTTTACTGTGCGCCCGCTTATTTCGTCGATGAAAATATCTGTATTTCAACTCTATTTATTTCCATGTTTTACGACCAGCAGGCCAAAACCAAAAAAGATATAAATGAAAAATGTGCAAAAAATGGGTGTGTGAGGGAGCGACTTGTGGCCAGTGCTGTAAGATAACATGGGGAGCGTAGCCCGTCGTTTATTTGTTGCTGCGACCAAAAACAGACCTGTAAACTCCTGTTTATAGGCTTTTTAGAGACAAGTTAAAGAGATTTTTCAATTGTAGAACAAATGTTTATAGGGACAATTCACGTTGTAAGATCAAGGGAGGTTCAAACCCCTGAACCCTACCCCTGGATATGCTACTGGCCGTCTTAATTTGATTTAATGTTGTGCACTTTTATTCTTTCTCGCAATGACCAAGTGGTCAAATGTCACCGTATCTTCTAATTTATAGGCTTGGTTCGACAAATCCATTGACAACTCCACTGTACTAAAACAAGTTATGCTACCAGAATACAGCAGCAGCCAGTTGGGCCAGTTGGGCTTTACAGTAATTTCAAAAACTTGATTGATCCTCAACCTCCCTCCTACTGTCGGGGAAATAAATATGTGCACTCGAGTTTGAGCCTAAATATCTCTGAGATGAATTATCCGATTTTGTTGAAACAAAAATTAAATGTAAGCTTGTTTAAATACATTTTACATGGTAACAATTTAAAAATTTTCCGTTTACCAGAAAAATTTATATAGTTGAAAGATCCTAAAAAGTACCGGTTTTTAAGGAACTCTGCACTAACACTGAACTTTAAAAATTAATTGTAAACAAACCACTGAGCCAATCTTTCTGAAATTTTTATGGCTTATTGGTAGGTTTATTGTTAACATTTCCATGCATTTTAAAATTTTTACTCACAAAAGTTTTTATGCTGCTGTTAATTTTTCAAACCTATGCTAACATCGTTAATAAGACGCTAAAAATTTCGTTCAAAATACCATCGTGTTTGTCGTGACACAAGAAATAACACCAATATGATAGATTTATAATGCGAACAAAGGCGTTTTTTAAACAGATTTATATTTGTAAACAAAAATTTCTCCCGCGACTGGCAGCGGGCCGCCTGGTGTGCGTACGATATTTCCCAGCCGGGCGGGAGCGCGGCGAATCTGCGACGTTGCCGATGTGTATCTGGCCAGTGGCCACCACACTGACATTGCATCGGTATTAACTCACGGCAAACAACTGTGTATATCAATATTTAGTTTGAAATTTACATAAATTTACTAACAAAATATTCTAATTAACTAGTCATGAAACAAATACATTATAATAAGTTAACTATGGTGGTATGAAAAATTAATTTTGTATTACAAGCAACAAGCCAACTGTTTTGTGTTGATTGAGCTAGTTAAAAAATTATAACAGCTAAATGCCAAGTAAATATTTTCCACCAGTATTTATTTTATGGTTTCTTTAATTTGCCACTTTTAAATATACAACTGAGAGTAGAAATCGGAGCGGTCATCACCCTTTCCGGGAAGTGTTGCGTTAAAGCTGGAATATCCGATGAGTAATGGAATGTAAACATTAGCTCCCACCTTTCTTGAACTATGGTCGCTATGAGAGATGACTAACCAAGCTAACCAGTTCGTCTTAGATTTTTAAACCGGTCGGTAACTTCTATTCGAAAATGGCTCCTCGCCGGAATTTTTTCGATGGTGAAATACAGATGATAGTTAGTGCGATTTGTTTCTTTCATGCGGAAAAAGAAAAGTGCGGTGACAAACGTTATCCCGTGTATGATCATGTGGCCAATTGTTTTAACATCGGAACAAGGATAAATGTGGACCAATTTACTGTGGGAGCGATACGAAGGTACTTATATGATTTTTACGTGCAAAAAATGTTTCCAACGATCGAAAAATTAAGGCAGAAGCTAAATATTGATTTTCAAAGTTGTTTGCCGTGAGTGAATAGGCTACCGATGCATGGTGGCCACTGGCCAGGTACACATCGGCAACGTCGCAGATTCGCCGCGCTCCCGCCCGGCTGGGAAATATCGTACGCATATTTTTTTTAGTTTTAGTTTTTTTTTTTTTTTAGTAGTTGTATTCCAAGAACGTTCAAAGTAAATATCAACTTAACAGTAGCAAAACCATGCCTAGCCAGATAAACAGGATATAAGATAGTAGTTAGCTCAGGGTATAAAATAACATGTTAACTGGGCGACACAAGTGTCACCCAGTGCTGAGATTTTGTCGCCCAGTGACTATGGGTGGTGCCGGCATATTTTTGTTATGATTCACATTTTAAATGTATCGGAATTTAAAAAATAACTATATGTAAATACTTTAGAGTATTGAGCTATGATTTTGGCCCAAGAGGTTGTGAAGGGAGCTTTGGCCTGTTACAACGTTCTAGAATACGTAATTAAGTGAGATTATATGGACTATTAACAAGCAAATATAATCGAAAAATGCATTAAAAGATACGTAGAAATGTGTGATTTTCACTTTAACTTTTGCAAAAATTTTCGGGTGGGGTATTCCATACCCCCCAGGCCCTCTGGTAAGTCCGGCGCCACTGTCGCCCAGTGAAAATCCCTTAAAATATGCTCTGAGTTAGCTAAAGAAAAAATACCATATTTTTGTATTGGTAAAGAATTGTGATATATATATATATAATCTACTTTCCTTATTTTGTTTAAAATGTCTGCCATGGCAGTGAACAAGTGCTTCACATTAGTGAGCAAAACCACATGAACATATATATGATTAGAAACTTGGGATTAAGAAGGAACTAATATTTAAGAGAAGCATGACTGTTTGTACAAAAATGTATTTACAAAAATAATATAAAATGCTTTGGTCTTATTTTCTATTTACACCAAACTTGTACAAGTCTAGCAGCAGGTCTACGAGATCGATTTGCTAAATAACAACTACGATTAGAATGCACACTGGTTAGTCTACTTAATAGTTACGATTAAGTAGTATTTAGATACAACATATAGACTATGCATATTTTGTTTAAGTAAAAGTTGTAGAGATACATTCAGGTCACATGATATTCGGTGTCTTAATATTTATCACTATTTTTACATTTTAAAAAAACTGTAATAATGAGTCTTTAATAATAATATTAATAAAATAATGCTATGCATCTCATCATTAAAAATATTGAACAATCAATAAATATTTTAAATACTTTGATAATTAATTGAAGACAAAAACAAAATTTAGAATATAGTATAGCCTATTTATATAGCCTAGTTAAATTATAATTTTAAAAAAAATACATATTAACAAATAAACCTAATGACTTTGGCAGGAATTTGTATAATATTGCTTTACACGGCAACAATCTTGCTGGGGTCAACTTTGATTCTGATGTAGAGTGTATCGTCCCTCGTAAAGTTGCGTTTTCCCAGACTTTCATGAGACACAAACCTAGGGAATCCAAAGCCGAGGGTGTCAGGTTCGCTTGCTTTGCATGGACGCTGAAAGTTTTCCCATGTTGGATCGGGGACAAAACTCTCCACTATGTTGCAAGCCTGTAAAGATAATACAGAATTTGTAAATAACATTTTTAACTAGTTCAAATGCAGAAACCTAAGGTGTTTAATAGCACATACAGTATTGAACAAATTGAAATAGTCCAATTTAGAGTTTAAAATCTCGGATGTAAGTTTCTCCAAATACGTATATTTGCTGAAATTTTTTTACTTTGTGAAATTTATAGGCTATATATAGAAAAATTAATTAGATTTAAAACACATAAATTAATATAATTACTAAACCTTTTTGTTTGATGTTCTGTTAATGCATCTATGGTGTTAATAACTCATAACAATTCATTTGGTTTATGATCTGTACAGGGGTACAGAAAGCCTAATAAATCAAATTTTCCTATTTATAATTTTAGTTTAGCCAACAAAAAGCTTTAGCAATCTATTTCAATTTAAAAATTCATCAGACAATATTCAAACAAGTTGTTTTTAGTTCAAATCATTGCCTTACTAAAGCAACTATTTAAGCAACTATTATCTGACACACTGTATAATTATGCAATTATTATGTCAAAAGATAAACAAATGGGTAGGTACACCAAAAACTTGAAGTGTTTTATATAGGCTAAAGTGTCATTAAAATAACTGGTCTAATAAACTGGGATTTTCTCTCATCATTCCAATTACTATTGTTACTTTATAATAATAATGGTTCAATTGTGAGAGATACTGGTATCCTACAACTTACTGGTATCCTGCAACTGTTAGTTTCATCAAAAGCCTAAAACTAGTAAAGTGAATGGAGGGATGCTACGAGAGACCTAAAGGTTAAAGTAGCAAAGAAATGATTGGCTATACAGTAACCCTCTTATCTGGACACCTTTTAACCGGACATCGGTTCAACCGGACTTCACTCAGTGGAAATGACATCTCTTTACCTGGACTATTTTTATCAGCACATCGATCTAACCGTACTGAATCAGCAGGAAATGGGAGGTACTGAAACGACAGTTCTCGTAGGAAAGATTAGTGATCACATGTCTAAATATGTAATAATCATTATCGGCTTATACAGTATGCATTTAAATGGTCTGTTTTACCGAGTTTTGAGGGACGTCGGTTTAACCGGAAAACCCGCTATCCGGACTGGCCTCGGTCCCGAGGAGTCCGGATAAGAGGGAGTCTACTGTACCCTAAACTCACACTAAAACAATAAAATCTGTACTTCTATGGAATTGTATTACTTTACAAGAACTCTGAATAAATCACAACGCACCTTCTCGCTCTGGTCGAAGAGTGTGAAGGCGACAGAGTGAGCGAACGGCCACCTGAGCAATGCATCGTACTCGCCAGGCAGCAACTTGATGTACAGAGACAGATGAGTGTTCTCTCCAGCGCCGTTGCCGTTCAGGAACAACGATGCTTGCAGCTTGTAGCCAAACTGAGAAGTGTAGAACGGAGGAGAGACCAGCTCCATACCCTCCTTGCAACGAGCCTCCGCCATCTTGGCACTGAACTCTGTGACTTTCCAGACCAGTGTACCTGTAAATGGATTGCATTACATTAATTGTGCTTCATATTACCTTACCTAGATGCAATCATTATTGAAAATAGTTTGTTGAAAACCAAACAGGAGGAAATCTTATTTTAAACAGTTGAATCCAAGATTTTTAATATCATAACAAATTCTTTGAAAGCTGCAAGTTTGTTTAACGATTGTCACAGCACCGCAGATTTGGGATAAAAACCCTTCATAAATTCACCAATTCAAACAGTCTACTTACTTCAATTTATGGGCTAAGGTGAAAATTTACATTTTATTGTGAACTTAGTTTAGTGGCAGTAATGAAAGCAGGGCCGCTATTAAAAATGGGCTAAGTGGCGCAATGGTTCAGAAGGAAGAGGGAAAAGTTAACCCTCTAGGTAGGTGCAGAGGTGCACAATTATCTTTCATTGTCAGTTTGCTATTTCTTATTTATGAATTTCTTGACAAGAGTTAGTAGGTTGTCACATTAAGAGTGCAGTGTTTCCGTACCTGTGTGGTTGAGAGACAGCCGGGACAGAGCACTCTTGAGACTGGTGATCTGGTGCTGCTGTCTGGTGACTAGACTGCACATCAGCGCCAGATGTTGTTGGCTGTTCTCCTCTAAATGTCTCTCCATCACCATTCCTCTCAAGCCCTGTGCATAATTTTGGTTAAAAATGAGTAGATTACTTACGATCTAAAGTATTTATCAAGTGGATTACCATTGTAAAATCTGAAGCTTGATTTTTAAGCGTGGTTATGGAACAAATTTTAAACTGAAACACACCACTACATGAATCAGGTGGAACTAACATTAAGGCCCAGCGCACACGGTGTGACTGTTTTACAACAACTGTTGCAAACCAGTTGCGTTTGGAACCAGTTTGCAACTGAAACAAAACTTCTGTCCGCACACGGTGTGACTGTTTTACAACTACAGTTGCGTCTATTGTGCAATCAGTGGAGTGCAAATTTAGTGCAGTTACGATGTTTTAAGGCCTTAAGTGCGCTTACTACGTCGGACTCAGACGAAGAAGACGTTATTAGCTATTATCAATACCGAAGACAGCGAAGGGTACTGAGAGAGCATTGGGTTCACCCTTATTTGAGCAAGAATGTTAGTACTAGGCTGTTTGTAGCAGCTAGAGATATTCGGATAGGAAATTATAAACACTATACGGCCGTCAAAATTCCACCAAAATACCACCAAACACCACAAAAACACCCCGTGGTCTCGTGCAACTGAAATCTGCAACGTCGGGCCCACGGTTGTATGTGACTGGTTTCAAACTTTTTTGAAATCGCCTACAACCAGTTGCGTCGTGTGCGCCTCCCCATTGCAATACATTGCCGAGGTCTCAAAACAGTTGCACGCGCAACTGGTTTGCAACGAAAGTTTTAAAACAGTCACACCGTGTGCGCTGGGACTTATTGGTTTAAAAAAAGATTATACTGTGTAAAATGAGCCATGGTGAAAATTGCAGTTTTCCTTGCACTTACAACAATTAATTAGAATACCTTTTCCAACCCATTAGATTTGGAAATTTTTAAATGGAGTACAGAATAGTAACATTGCTTGACTCCTAGGAATAAGGTACTGGATATGTCCAATCTGAAGCGATTTAACACAAATTAAAAACCAAATCCTTCATTATCACTTTCAGTAATTCTTTGCCTCCCATTGACAACTGGGCAGTAGTACACACAAAATTTTCTTTTTAAATGAAATTTAAAAGTGAAAGATTATCTTCTACAATTCTGGAGATAATAGAAGTCAAAGCTTACCTTAAACCTGCAACCCGCCTCTTTGAATGTGCAAGGGGTAAGCAGGCTGGCACATTGGTCCTTGAGATGGCTGTCCAGGTCTTCCCTGGGAATAATCCCCATCTCACATCTGTAATGGGTACATTTTAATGTTACCATCTTTTGTTTGAATAAATAGTAATAATGAAATATAATACAAAGGATTTAGTGATAAAAGATAGAAGTCAGAAATTACTGGAAATAAACCAATTCTGGTACAAAATCTTTTTTCAAAATTCTAGAATTTGTGAATTTAGTGTTAATGAAGTACATGGCATCTTAATGGTATCCACTATTCAATATGACTGTTTTAATACATGAAGATGAAGTTTGTTTGATGCAGGTTGCAATGAAAATAAGTAGCTATTCACAAAAACAAAAAAATATGTTTTTTGATAACATCTGAACTTTGCTCTTAACAAGATTTTCTCTTAAATATTTCTCAGGTGGAAAAATAAGAAAAATTACATTTAAACAATTATGACTAAACATTTTCTGCTTGATACCACTTCTTTTGGAGGGTTTGGTGAATTCAGATCTCAGTCAAGATTTTGGATACTTTCAAAAAGTAGTAAATCTAAAGACTATCCGATCTAAAAATTATACCGTACTTCTGTGACTAAGTAAGCTGAGATCTAAGCAATCGTATTATTATCATGTACCTGTTGGGGCAGGGGACTGGAGCGCGCAGACACGCAGAGTGGTGAGTCTGTAGTGTATCAGCGACGTAGCTCTGTGTACAGTAGCGACAAGCAACGAGCCTCTTGTTGCACTCACTCTGTTTGTGACGACCGAGCAGTCTTCGTTGAAGTTTCATTCCACACTGATACAAGATCAAAGTGTTAAACAATTAAATAGCACAGTTGAGTTTAATACAACAAGATGCAACAAGAGAGCATCAAGACTATAAGGTTGAATATGTTTTCCAGTTTAGCAAAAATGATTTTTAGTAAAGTGTATTTTTAACTTGTTTAAATCATTGAATATGTGTTTTGTTAATAGGATAAATTTGTGTCTGTGTCTAAGCAAACCAAAGAACTAGAGAAATCCTTGTTACCAATCGAGCAATACCTTTTGGTTTGTGAGCAGTTTTATTTCACATTTACTAAATAGTATGAGGTGATTTTGTACATAACAATTCAAATAGAAAACAACATTTTCAATGTATACTAATTCTATTTCAATTAACATGTTTTAGTGAAAAGTAGCCACTGTGCACAACAATTTGCCTATTTCTAAAACAAGTCTGAAACAATGTTTCAGTAGATGCCTCACCTTGTTCTCACAATAGAGTGGTTCCAGGGGACATGTTCCTGTGTGTTTATCGAGTGCAGCCCCCGGCAGGTCAGTTCCACAGAACTCACAGCGAGCCAAGCGCTCGGAACAGGTGAACTTGAGGTGGTCCTCCATAAGCACTCGCGGGATCTGAGCTCCACAGGCATTAGTGCAGGGGATGGCGTCATGCTTACAGGTGTTGAAATGTGCCTGCGGATCAATGTGGCAATCAGTTATCATATCAAACAGTGAAAGATATAGTTGCAAATTTTCTGTTTCACATTCAATTTAAATCTATCAAAAGCGTATGGATATTTAATAGGGGTGTTGATCTAGTTTAGCTCTTGTGGTATTCAGTGGCATTGCTTGGTAAAATCCCAGGGGGGGGGGGGAGAAGCCTCAATTCTCCCAACTGCTAAACATAGATTTCCCAACAATTTGTTTATCCTAAGAAATCAATTTTTGTACTATTAAAAAAATCTACAAATTATTATACTACACTGCAGTCACACTCGATTCAGTATTTATTAACTTGTATTAACAAAACATTGCTAGTTTCACATTTATACAAAATTACTCAATTCAAAAAAACTTCTAAAAGTTCTATGGTATTAGTATTACTACACACTGCTGGTAGTTTGGCTGGTGCTTGGACCAGTGACCAAGTCGGCCACTACTGACTGAGGAAAAGCCTTCAAGAAACAGTACTGCATGAGAATTAGACAAGGCAAGTATACAGTAGTTGACCCTCTGAGATAGCTCTTGGCTCACTGCTTGTCTATTGGTCTCAGTTGTCCACATTGTTGTTACAACTTTTCCTTTAACTGAGGTCAGTAGAATGGACAATTTTGTTGTTGTTTTTTTTTTTTTTTATTTGTTTTTACTTAAGTGCTAAAAATGTGTCCTCATCTACCTTTAGCTTGCGGAGTTGATCATTCCATTTACATCCTTCCTTGTGGTGAATGCAGTAAACCATAGAGCTCATGATATCCTTTTCACTGTCAGATATCTGAAACAAAATATGCATTTAGTTTTATTTAATTTATTCTGTGATCTTAACCATTTGTCTGAAAAATAAAATAGATTTTTTTATGACACGGTTTTTAAGAAAACCCCTATTGGCATTTTGGATTCTACAATCATTTTATAAATAGCATAGGCTAATCTGAAAGGGGGGCCACCAGTTGACCGACAAGATACTTGGTCGTCTTGCCACTAGACCGTCTTTTTTAATTAAATAGATAAATACTGAAAACCAGTACGTCGACAAGTTATTTCATCGTCAGTCCAGTTGACCGGCCTGTAAATCTAAATTATTATATACGAGAAACCAACTTGTCGTCAATCCTCCCGACCGACTTACCACTTGCTCGTCTTTTAGGTGGGGATGTGTTGAGCGGCAGTGCCAGCGGCGCGCGCAGCTGTGGAGGGCACTGCAGGCGTACCAACTTCTGTATCTTGTAGCGGCGGTTTTCATTCCGACGATTTTCAGCTATCACAATGCAGCGGACTAGCGAGGTTCTTATTACGTGTAATTGTTTGTTTCTCAATCGATATTTTGTTATACACAGTACAGTGAATATAAATAGGCCTATATTAGTTTACTTCAATGAAATAAATGTTTTATTTAGCTAAATAAATAAAAATACGCCGATTGAACAAATAAAATTGTTACAGACAACAGGAAGTCCTTAATATGATCAAAAAAGTGTTTATCTTTATTAAAAAATTACTGAAATTTGTAAACTTACTGCTGGCGACAAGGGTGGTGCCATACATAGGTTTATCAATAAATAAGATAAACATGGACAACCTTATGCAGCTATAAGTCAGGAAACATTTGTAGAAACATTAAAAAGCAATACCAATTTATGAAATATGATAAAATATTTACAGGAAATGTTGATTACTGTATATACATCGTGAGTATCTCCAGCAGTTACACACTGGTGATCTTTGAGTTGACTCTTTTAAACTCATTGATTATTACTTTTTTTCGTTTTGAAATAAATTCTGTATTACTTTGAAATTGCTCGAATTCGAGCAACATGTACACGAGTTTGAATATTAAATTAACTAACATATTTATGTAATAGGAGGGTCAAATATTGTTAACAGTGGTGAGGTAACTACCGTTACATTTATTCAATTGAGAGATAAATACAAATTGATAATACCGGTTATTTAAAGCTTTGTTGTCTATTTTTCCCTCTCTTAAAAAATAAAATAAAGAATGAATTTAGACTTTTGGTGACATTAGTTTGTACTATTTCTCCTTAAATGACACTGCTGTCTTGGTAAGCAATAGTTATCTCGGTAAACTATTTATTTGCTGAAGTGCACAGTGTGCTACTTAGCCTGAGAAACATCTTTTGTTTTATGATTTTGTTGTAGGCCTATTGAAAACCTTGTCTAGAAGGAATTCCCATTGCCTGTGTTACCGGGGAGAAGTTTTTCTTAGTAAAGTCTGTAGACGTCTTCGGTTTTACACAGAAACATGTAATTATAATTGAAGAAGTACATGTTTTATCCTCTCACGTTGTTGCGTGGACAATACTATGGTGATTCAATTCTGTGTACTTCAATTGTCTAACTGGCCCTAACTGACGCATCCTTGTTTTTTTTTTACTAAATAAGTCTTTACTTCCGTGGATCTTTGCGTTTTATTGTTTAACTGTCCTCAAGTAAGTCTGTGTTCTGAGTAAGTACTTCAAATGCACGGCACTACTGTATATTCAGATTTTCTAATGAACTAGCCTATCATAGATAAAAGAAGTATAGACATGTATGTATGACAGAGTATGTCTACTCCTTTTATCTATGGTACTATTTCCAAGTTCATCTGGACGACCCTGCAAATCGTTTCTATTAAAAAAAAATTGTATTTGGTTTATGTTTATGAACTTGTATGAGTGTTGTTAACTAAAGCTAAATTCACATCAAATTAATTAATTTAATGTATTTTAATAGTATTTCTAATTAATTTCAGTTTTAAGAACATATAGTAAATAAATCCTTGTTGAAACGGCTGTACTATCCATGCAATTATTGTCAAACTATATGTTCAAAGATTCCTGGACGGCAATGTTATAATACTAGTTGGAGCAGAGGTACTGGATCTAGGGTTAATACAGTTTTGTGACGTGTAAGGTATATCACTGCAGAAGTAGTTAGCTCAAGAATTATGACGCGGATGACAAAGATTGGTAGCTTTTGCTATAATTATAAAAAAAAACAAGTACATAAAATCATTCACAGTTTTTTTTTTCACAGTCTATTGAATAGCCTGCAGTTAAGTTCACTCTAATGAAGAATATAGACGTGGCCAGAGTTCCAAACGATTTAAGCAACAACTGTTTACATGAACTATCCTATATGTAAGTTTTTTTTTTAGTGTGCAATGTACTTATTGAATTTTCATTAGTAATATATCATGGCTATATCGTTTATGTAAAAGTATCAAAAGATAGTAAAACGAAAACGAAACAATCAACCAAAACCAGTGACCGAAACAAGTGTCGAGCTGGCGGCGCCGCGCCTACCTCGGGATTCCCCGAGGGCAATAATTCATCTTTGAAGTAACACCGGTAACACTGACTCACTGGCCGACACGGATACCCGCCTACCACCCCCTTTGTGTCGTCACCCTATGACCACCGGTCGGTCGGCCACCCATCCAAGGAAACTCTAGACATCGGCGGCTCTTTGTCGTTCGTTGACCAGCGTATTTTCTAGAGTTGAATGTATACCCTCACTCACACCAGGGAATAAGTAAACTGTAGTAGTTTTCTTGTTTATGAAAATATTTGCATTAAATTAGAAAAAAATCATTTATTTATTTATAAAATGTTATTATTTTACAAAAAAAACACACTTTTACCCTCCCTGTTGCAGCAAACCTAAGTACTTGTTAAACTTATTCTATTTAAATATGGAATAACTGTGATATTTTCAAAAAGTCATTTTAGTGTAAATCCAATCAGGCAAATAGAAATTTGCTTAGTCTGCAGGTTTGTTGCGGTGGGGGTATATTTCGTCATAAACTCTTTTGCCACTTAAGAATCTTCAATAGTAAAGTGGCAACTAAAACGCGACTCCAGCGACCCAATTCTGGCGGCGCTCTAGAACTACCCGAAGGCCTTTTCCGGTATTACGCGTGCCGCATCACACAAGTAGTTTTCCCGCGCCCCTATTCAAACGCTTGTAGGCGAAGAAAAAGAAAGCGAGTTGACGACCGAGGCTAGGTCGACCCGATCGACTTCGACAGCTGTTTTACTGTCTCTCTCCCTCTCTCTCTCTGTCTTTGGATGTGTAGGGTTGGCGAGGGTTGTAAAATTGCTGAAAGTGAAAGGGACGTGGCTGGCGCTACGTTCCTAGTTTTTGGCCTCTTGATGCTAACACTGGGTCGGCTACTCGAGATCAAACAACAGCGTGTGTTTAGTACAAAATTGGGTCCACAGTCACATCTATCTATATCTATCTATATATTAATAGGCAAGCATGTTTCTTTAAAACCTTTTTTCTCAGCTCGTGTGCATCGTGGGGTAAATCTACGCATACCGTTAGAAAGCTATTTTCCTGTAGGTGTGCAGAATCCCTTTATAAATTGAAATAGGCTCAAAGATAAGCACAAAAAATGAGTTTAAAAATTTGAAAAAATTAACATGGATCTTATGCGTTGCCATGCTGGTGACGAAATAACAACGAAATATAAACAGAAAATCAAAACAAATGGAAGAAACTCCAATCACATGTTTTATTTACAGTGTGGGGTGAAAACAGAGAAGTGAGTAAGTTTACATTACATATTTTTGGTCGAGTTTCGACCACTGGACGACCTCTCGTACTTATTTAATACGCAAGCATAATTTTTGTGACAATTACTCCTCCGAAATTACTGAACCGATTGACATGTTTTTGGTGTCATTGGAAAGAGCGTAACGTGAAGTTGTGCAGGAAACTTTCTTTTTAGGGAAATAATTAGAGAGCGAGGCCCTGGGGCCCTTTAAAGTTTCGTATTTTTCCATAAGATTAACATGGGAATCAAACATTGTTTTGAAACTCCAGCTGTTGTCTGAAATTAAATATAAATAATTGGTCTCTATGGAAGCATGAGAAAATTCACAATGTTTACATTTGCTTTGACATTTAAATGTAAACAACCAGAACTGTCAAATGCCCATTTTACAATTTCAGACAGCTGATCCAAAAAAATAAACAACTACGTGGTAGGTTTATTTTAATCTTAATCTTTATGATAGATTAATCTATTTCAATGATTATGAAACAGATATTTCCCGTCGTGAAGCAAAAATTAATAGCGAGAAGAAGAACATGTTAATTGTAAACAGTCAATGTGTAATATCTATGTTGTATTAAAAATGTGTATAGTTTTGAATGTTGATTTGTGTTTAATGATATAAGTTATTAGTTATTTAATTTTTATTTTAAGGATTTGGCATATGAGTAAGCCTTATGATAAATAACACTATTTCTGAGTTCTGCCAGTTTTTGCCTAACTCTATCAGGTAGAGTTTAAAGTAGCCTACACCTTATTGTCTACAAATTGGCTAAATAACTTAGATATGGTACATTGTAAAAGCTGACAGCCTTTTTACGTTGACTTAAATTGTAAGCTTACCTTTTCCCTTCCATGGGCAGTTTGATCGTTAAAAGTTTAAACCCCTTTAAACTGGAATAGGACTGTTATGTAAATTGTCAGTATTTCCATTAGTTAATAACCTTTTAAAATCTTGACTCTTAAAATCATCTGAATTTATGACTATTATTAGTTTTTAAACAAGTTATTTGTTTATAAATAACTCGCATACTTCTTTGCAATTGCTCGATTTCGAGCAACATGTACACTAGTACTTATTTAATACGCAAGCAGGATTTTTGTGACAATTATTCCTCCGAAACTACTGAACCGATTGACATGTTTTTGGTGTCATTGGAAAGAGCGTAACGTGAAGTTGTGCAGGAAACTTTCTTTTTAGGTAAATAATT